GTCCGGTGTGCCGTGCCGCCGCGCAGGGGCCCGTTCCCCGCCCCCCCCCCCCCCAGAGTTAGGTCGGGCACGTCCTCCTCCAGGGGTGGTTCTTGGGGCGAGAAGTGAATATAAAAGTAGACAAACAAAGATGCCAGAAACGCGATGCTCAAACAAAAAAAGGCCCCAGACAGTCCCCAGACTGTGGTTTTACTGTGTTTGAGCTTTCCCCCTGTAGAGAGGGACATGCCCGACTTCACCCCGGAGGCTGCGTGTGGGCGGGGTGGGAGGACTCTGGGAGTCCAGGTCGGCCTCGCGCGCGCGCCCACGTGGGGGGCAAGAGGCCCAGGCACAGAAGATGGCTGTCACCAGCGACGACGGTAGGGACGACGAGCGACACGACGACGACGACGACGACGACGACGACGACGACGACGTCGACGACGACGACAACGACGACGGACAGGGGCGCGGGAAGGTTTCACGTGCGGGAGGGGGGTCGCAACCACGACACGACAACGACGATCACGACGGCGAACTGGTTCGACAATCTCGGAGGCCCGGGGCGTCTGGGACAGGGCGGCCCAGTAGGAGCGAGGGGAAACGTTAGCGGGGGGGCCAGCTCAGGAGGGGAACATCGACCTGGAATCGGCGATACATCGCCAAAATATCGGCGATAGGCCCCAGATAGCGAAACGGCACGTTCCTGGGCGGGGTGGTGTCGGCGGTGAATGGGCGATGGGAGGTGGATGCGTTCCCCCGTGGGGAGCAGGTCACCGCGACCAGTTCGTCTCCTCCTCGAGCAAAAAAGCGCAGTCCTTGAAAAATCGCGTGGTTTTCGTCCACCACAAACATCACGCACATATCTCTTCGCCATCACAAAGCTGAACAAAAGCTGGGAAGATTTCGATCTGGCAGGAAGCGCCGCAGCGCCCGTCCGCGGAGCTACTCTGGATTCAGCGCCACCGACAATGGCCGAAGCACCAGAAGAGCCCGTAGGGGACGAGGAAGAAGAAGAAGCCGCAGGCACCCGACCGCCCACAAGAACATCAGCACGAACGGGTACAACAGGATCAGACGTACGAGCTAACTCGGCATACACAGCCGCACTAATGACACCAGGCTGCAAGAACTGCAGGAAGGCCGCGCCGACAGCATCCGAAATCAACTTTACATAAAAGCCATGTCGGAGCGCTCGCGCAGAGGGCCCAAAGAACCAATGGGGACAAGAATGGCAGTCAGGTCTTCCAAAACGCATCCAAACGAACTGCTTCTCGGATTGCTGCTCAATGGCGCGCAGCCAAGGCTGTGCTTCCTGGGCCGAGCGGGGATAATTCTCCAGCAGCTGCCAAGCGGGACCTGTCACCACCAATACTGGGAACATACGGAGGCAATACAACAAAGCAGGAACTACAAAACGACCTAGACATATCAGATTGAAGCCCATTGGCCTAAACCATGTCGCGACCATCAGCGTCGCCAGAGGAGTGACCCACGGTGAGGACATTAGCCAACGCGCCCGCCACGGTATCAAACACTTCAACGTCAACATAGAAATCAAAGCCCGGGCAACCCTGAAGCTGAAGGGGCGCCGCTTCAGAATGTCGTGGTCGGTCCGCACGTCCTATGAAGCGTCTCGCCTGGCAGAGAGCATTCCGAGAGAGCATTCCTGGGGAGAGGGCGAGGGGGAGGGGGAGGAGGAGGAGGCGGAGGAGGAGGAGCAGGAGGAGGAGGAGGGGGAGGAGGAGGAGGAGGGAGGAAGAGGAGGAGGAGGAGGAGGAGGAGGAGGAGGAGGAGGAGGAGGAGGGGGAGGAGGAGGGAGGAGGAGGAGGAGGAAGAAGAAGAGGTTCTGCATTCCAAGAGGCAGGCCCGCAGGACCGCTCCTGCATGCCAGCAATCGAATTGCACTGCAAATGGGCAGCGTGCGGCTTCCATTGCGCATCGCACAGAGTACTGACGATAAGAGCGAGACAAGACGTTGCACTTGCGCTTCGCATCGGCGTCCCGACCTTCCACTCGACGTCGACGAAGCCGAGTCTGAGCAGCTAAGATATTGTGTACCTTGTCCGTTGACCACGTAGCCGTTCAAGAAACAAGGCAAAACGAGTTCAAACACACATCGGCAGGCAAATGACGACGGGTTGAGAGGAACTGGCTTGAGCCAAACTGGCTCCGGAGAAGGAAGAGCTGGAGGAGGAGCTGGAGGAGCTGGAGGAGCTGGAGGAGGAGGAGGAGGAGGAGGAGGAGGAGGAGGAGGAGGAGGAGGAGGAGGAGGGCCCCGTTACGGGGGCGGGCCGGCGTTTCAAGATGGAGGACACGAGGGGGAAGCCGCAGCAGGCACGAGCGCGGGCCGCGCCGGGTGACCGGGGAGCGCGCCTGGCAGGAGAGCGGAGCGGGTCCTCGAAGGGAGCGGGCCCTGGGCCGCGGAGATCTCCTGGAGAGCCCTGGCGCCCCGAGCCGTCTTGTGACGACCCGGAAGCCTACTAAAGCAACGCTGAGCTGAGGGCTGAGGGACCCCAAGCCTGAAACATGGGCGGGGCGCCTGACCCTGCAGAAAACACCACCCAGATAGCGCTGCGACCACGCACGCAGCGTATACGCTGGGGCCGAGGAGCGCGGAAGAGACCTGGGGCCCGTCTCCTCGGGGCCCCGCTGCGCGCGGCGGGCCCCTGGGGGGACTCGTGCGCCACCCGCGCGGAAAACGCCTGGCGACGCGCGCGCCGAGGGGAGACGCTTCTAAGCAGGTAGGCGGCTGCTTGACAGAGATGGAGAGCTGCAAAGAGGGCCCGGGCCTCTTTGCAATCTCCTGGGGCCTCGTTTGGGCCTCTGGGGGGCCTCTTTGGGGCGTGTCGGGGGCCCTGCGTGCCATCTTGGCGGGGGAAGGCTCGAAACGCCACGTTTGGTTCCCCCCTTTGGGGCCCCCTGGCTTCTCCGAAGGACGCTCCCCTAGCGCCGCCCCCGGCCAGAGCCCGCCCACGGCTGGCCCCCTGGCCCCTCCCGGGGGCCCCGCCTGGCCAGCTCCCCGCGCCGCGCGAGACGAGAACCCCCCAGAGGCGCCCGAACACCTTCGAAGCGACGCTGCCATCGACGACGGCTGGGGGAGCAAAAAGAGATCGGCACCGAGACTTTTAGGTCGGGCATGTCCTCCTACAGGCGGATTCTGGGCGAAAAATGAAGAATAGTCAAAACATGTTCGGATGTAATCAAAAATGATGAAAAATCGTCCCCGCTCTATTTTTCAAACTATGTTTGCAAACTCCTCCTGTAAAGGGACACGCCCGACTTAACGCTATTTCACAGAACTCTCCTGTTGCGCGTCCCAAACCCAGAATCGAGGGACTCGAGGCGAAGTCTCCTTAACTCTACTTCACGAACTCTCACAGAAGTCTCCTGGCCGGGACTTCGAGGCGAATCCCGCCGCGGCGGCCAGGCAAGGGCAGTGGTATCAAGATTTTTTCCTCTCCTGATCGACGGCGACGACGACGACAATGGCGTCGCATCCCCCGCTCTGCGCCCAGCCCGCCAAGCGCACCCATCCCCACCGCCAGTCAGACCTGCCCGCTCTAATGTCCCGCCCGCCTGGGTCGCCCAGGTCGCCCAGGTCGCCCGCCCCGTCGTCGTCGTCGTCGTCGTCGTCTCCGTCGTCGCCGTGGTCGCCGTCGTCGTCGCCGTCGTCGCCGTCGACGTCGTCGCCGTCGACGTCATCGCCGTCGCCGTCGCCGTCGCCGTCGCCGTCGCTGTCGCTGTCGTCGCCGCCGCCGCCGTCGTCCTCGTCGTCGTCGTCGTCGCCTTCGTCGTCTTCGTCGTCGCCGTCGTCGACGCCTGCAGAGCAGGAGGCGCGACAGGTCGGCAGGCCGGCCGTGCGTGCGCGGCCCCAACTGCCCTCCGAGGACGCCGCAGGCGGCAACCGCGCGGGGGCGGGCCGCTCTCTCAGCGCGGGTGGGGCGCGATGCCGTTGCAGTGGCGGGCGCCGGCAGAGGAAGAAAGAACGGCACGAACATAAACTTGCGGCCGTCCGCGCGGATTCCTCGGATCCGCGCTGGTAGGGGGCCACATGCGAACCCTGCCCCTACCCCCGGCGACTTCTGAGGGGGAGGGTGGGGTTCACTTCGTTCGGGAGCTCCCGAGCTGAGGGGCGGCGCGCAGAAGGGCGGCGCAGGAGGCGCTGCCAGGAGGGCCCAGGGCGCCGATCCAAGAGGTCCGCGCGGAGCGTCGCAAGTGTGTGTGTGTGTGTTTGTGTGGTGTCTGTGTGTTGTGTGTCTGTGTGTTGTGTGCTTGTGTTATGTTGTGTCTGTTGTGTGTTCTGTGTTGTGTGTTGTGTGTTGTGTGTTGAGTGTTGTGTGTGCGTGCGTGCGTGCGTGCGTCCGTGCGTGCGTGTGTGTTGCGTGCGTGCGTGCGTGCGTGCGTGCGTGAGTGCGTGCGTGCGTGCGTGCGTGTGTGTGTGTGTGTTGCGTGCGTGCGTGCGTGCGTGCGTGCGTGCGTGTGCGTGCGTGCGTGCGTGTGTGTGTTGCGTGAGTGCGTGCGTGCGTGCGTGCGTGCGTGCGTGCGTGCGTGCGTGCGTGTGCATGTGGTGTGTGTTGTGTGTTGTGTGTTGTGTGCTGTGTGTTGTGTGTTGTGTGTTGCGTGTGTGTTGTGTGTTGTGTGTTGTGTGCTGTGTGTTGTGTGTTGTGTTTGTGTTGTGTGCGTGCTGTTTGTTGTATGTGTTGTGTATGATGTGTGTTGTGTGTTGTGTGTTGTGTGTTGTGTCTGTTGTGTGTTGTGGGTGTGTTGTGGGTGTGCTGTGTGTGTTGTGTGGGTTGTGTGTGTTGTGTGGTGTGTGGTGTGTGTTGCGTGTGTTGTGTGTGTTGTATGTTGTGTGCTTTGTGTGTTGTGTGTGCTGTGTTTTGTATGTTGTGTATGGTGTGTCTGTTGTGTGCTGTGTGTTGTGTGCTGTGTGTTGTGTATGTTGTGTGTTGTGGGTGTGTGTGTGTTGTGTGTTGTGTGTTGTGTGTGTTGTGTGGTGTGTGTTGTGTGTGTTGTGTGTGTTGTGTGTTGTATGGTGTGCGTTGTGAGTGGTGTGTGTTGTGTGGTGTGTGTGTGTTGTGTGTCGTGTTGTGTGTTGTGTTTTGTTTGTTGTGTGTTGTGTGTGTGTTGTGTGTTGTGTGTTGTGTGTGTGTTGTGTGTGTGTTGTGTGTCGTATGTTGTGTGTGCGCATGCCGCTTTCTCTCCCTCGAGCTGAGGACGTCGAAGGTGGAGGTGGGGCACTCCTGCGGCGGCCGCCCAGCGGGCGGCGGCAACGCCGGGAGGCTGCGGCCAGGACGGCGACGGCTCCCGACGGCGACGCCCGACGCTCGACGCTCGGCGCTCGGCGACGGCGACAACGACGGCGACGGCGACGACGACGACGACGACGGCGCGACACCCCAGGGGCGGGCCTCCCCTGAAGGCTCGGGAGGCCCCCTGGCCCGCTGCGCAGCAGAGGCCCCGCCGCCTTCTGCGACGGCCTGCCCCCTCGATGATCGTAGGCCGTCTGGCCTTCGGATCGTAGCTCGGGTCGGCCTCCGGCTGCCGCCCGGCAGGACCAGGGCGCACCCGGACGCCTCTCGGCGAGGCGCCAGCCGCTGGAACGCAGCCCGCGGGCCCAAGGCCGCCAGGGAGGAGGAGGAGGAAGGAGGAGGACGAGGAGGAGGAGGAGGAGGAGGGGGGAGGAGGAGGAGGAGGAGGAGGAGGAGGAGGCGGAGGAAGAGGAGGAGGAGGGGGAGCAGGAGGAGGAGGGGGAAGAGAAGGAGGAGGACGAGGAGGAGGAGGAGGCGGAGGCGGAGAAGAGGAGGAGGAGGAGGAGCAGGAGAAGCAGAAAGAGGAGGAGGAGGAGGAGGAGGACGAGGAGGGTAACCGACGAAAGCGCCCGAAAAAACCTCCGACCTCGAGCCCCAAACCAATTACAAGACTCTGCCCCTCTTCGGCCGCCGCCGAGCCAAGCGGGCGACAAGGAGGACGAGGCGCCTCGCGCACGAGCGCGTCGCTGCGGCCGTGCGCGCGGAGGGCCCCGCGAGCCGCTGGCGCGGCAGCGCCTCGCGAACGAGCAGCCTCGCCGAGCACCCTCCTCCTCCTCCTCCTCCTCCTCCTCCTCCTCCTCCTCCTCCTCCTCCTCCTCCTCCTCCTCCTCCTCCTCCGCAAGAATCACCCCGACAAGCACAGCCGTTCAGGAAACGCGCCCAGGGAGGGAATCCAACAGGGCGGGGCTGCTTCGGAAACGCCAGGGGCCGTTTGGTAAACGTTACTTGTCGGGTCCGGGTGGCTTTCCTCCCCTGGCCGAGGGCGCTGTCGCGCGGTCGACGCCGTGCCCCTGCGCGTGCGCCTGCGACTGGGTGTCAGACTTCTGGGGGCCAGAGTCGGCGAATGGCAACGCAAGGGAAAAAGTTCTCTGGCACAAATTTAGGATGCAACTACTGGGAGGTTTTCGTCGGATAGATAAATGGATTAAGCCCCATTTGGGAGCTGTTACGCCGGAGTGGGCCTCGGATTAAGCGGGATTAAGCCGGATTAAGCGGGATTAAACGGGATTAAGCGGGAGCAAGCCGGATTGAGCCGGATTTCGGACCAGGTTGAATTTGACCTCCCAGGAGTTGCATCCGAAACAAATACGGGCCCGGGCGCAAAATGTCCAGAGACATGGCCCTGGAAGAAATACGGAACACTAATGCTTTTAGACAACTACGGCCCCGAACCAAGGATCACCCAAGGCATTGGGCGTACCCTTTTTCTGACCCCCAGAGAGCTGACCCCCATTAGCAGGCGAGGTACCTACGTCGCTTGCCAGGTGGCGCGCACGAGAGGCGTGGAGCAAAGGGGGCCTCTTCGAACGGCCCGGAGGCTTCTGCTGAGAGCCCCAAGACTGGCTGGTGACAGAGCGCCCAATGACGTCGGAGCCTCGAAGACCCCACCGCACGGCCCGTCACCCGACGGCTCTGGGCCTTCGGAGGGGCTCCAGGAGCCCGAGGCATCCTTCCTGAGAGAACAGCCCAAGAGCTCCAGAACGGCCCGCTCGCCCCGGATCGCCTCCAGCTCACCCGACGGTGCGGTCCCCTGACCGTTTGGGGGGACCTCCGACTCTGGGAAGGCTCCGCTCGATGATCCTCAGAACGCGTGTTAGCCCCAACGTGCGTTAGTCCATCGAGGCCCTTCGATACGACGCAGGCGATGTAGTGATCTACTGGTTGGGCTGAGGGGGTAAACACACCTTGGGCTAACACACGTCCTGAGGATCATCGATCCGCTTCCAAGAGGCCCCCTTCCGGCCCTCTGAGCAGGCGCCCCCCTCGCCCGCTCTCCCCCTTCTCTGCGCGCCGCCGAGCCCATGCCGCCGCCCAGGGCGGCCCGTGTCGAGGACCGCTTCCGGTCTTTGCTCTGGACCGTTTTGTGCCTCTGCCGGGGCGCCCAGGAGGAGGAGCAGGAGGAGGAGGAGGAGGAGGAGGAGGAGGAGCAGGAGGAGGAGGAGGAGGAAGAGGAGGGGGAGGAGGCGGAGGAGGCGGAGGAGGCGGAGGAGAAGGAGGAGGCGGAGGAGGAGGAGGAGGAGGAGGAAGCGGAGGAGGCGGAGGAGGGGGAGGAGGCGGAGGAGGGGGAGGAGGCGGAGGAGGAGGAGGCTTTCGAGCCGCAAGGGGCTCTTCGGGCGGCCCCGCGCCTCGTGGAGAGCCCTCCTCCGGGCAGCCCGGCAGGGCCGCCGGGAGCGGCCGCCCCGGCGGAGCCGAGCCGCGGGGCCCGAGCGAGCCGAGGGGGACCAGTGCCCCGACGACGCCACGAAAGCATACACGGTACGTTCGTGCGGCGTCGGCGCGCGCAAAGGTTTCTGACACCGCGTCGATCGTTCCGCCTCGGATCGATCGCGGCCCCGACCGTTCAGGGCTGAGCTCAATCCGGTCCAGTGGCGCCACCGTGTACATCGATGCTTCCGCGTCGCGAAATTCAACCTTGAACGCCTTCGCTGGCGTCGACGGCGCGCCAACGCCGCACGAACCTACCGTACCCGGACAACCGCCGACGAATTTCGCCTCTGCCTTCGGGGATGAAGGCGGTGTGTCAAATCGCTGACTCTCGGTGGTGATGTATACGGCGCCACCCTCTCCCAGGGCCATGGAAAATTCATTGGGCGGTGTCTGTGTATTTTTTGGGGGGGCGGACTGATGCAGACGTCGCGACAGAAAAACGTCTGGCATCTCTCGCCCCTGCCCCTGGCCCCCATGCCCTCCAATGGTCGGTCCGGCTCGAGACGTCCCGCACGAGGATGGGGTCGGGGGCTCAGTTGCTTGATGGTTCGAGAAGTGACGTGGCGTTCACGACGAACGTCGGGGTCCCTGGGCAGCAGTGGATAGAGAGGCTTTCCCGCCCTCTAGAGTTGTCAAGTACGTATGTCCGCCACTCCCCGAGGCCCTGCAGAACGATTCCAAGACGGTGGATGTGGATACATATTCCTGCCGTGGAGCTCCGCTGGAGGTGCCGCCACGAGTTTGACGCCTTGGTCACACTGGCCGATGGTAAACGAGCCGTGATTCGTCGCCTCGCTGAGCAAGCAGGAGCAGCTGCTGTCACCGCCAGTGACGTTTAGCCTGGTGCTGTCGATCTCCACAACCTTAACGTAGTGGTCGCCGGCCAGGCAGCACGAGCCCATGCCGCAACCTGCAGGCACCTCTTGGCAGCGTGCCCAGATGGCGGGGCGAGGGTGGAGGAGGAGGACGAGGAGGAGGAGGAGGAGGAAGAGGAGGCGGACGAGCAGGAGGAGGAGGAGGAGGAGGAGGAAGAGGAGGAGGAGGAGGAGGAGGGGGGGAGGGGGAGGAGGAGGAGGAGGAGGAGGAGGAGGAGGAAGAGGAGGAGGAGGAGGAAAAGGAGGAGGAGGAACAGGAGGAGGAGGAGGAACAGGAGGAGGAGGAGGACGGGAGGGGGGGCTGCTTGGAAGGTCTCAGCGGCTGCCGCGAGGGCTCCCTAGGAGGCAGGACAGGCTCTTTAGAAGACCCCCCCCCCATCTCTCCCAGAAGGCCGCCACCCCCGCCCCTTCTCCGACCACAAATCCACACAAAAAAACATCCATCACCTGGACCCCTCGCGGGGTCCACCCTGTTGTTCGAGCTGCGCCCCATCGTGCCGACAAAGGGGGCCTCCAAAGGCCAGGAGACTTCTGCTTGCCATCGGGCACCAGCACTTGGCACTGCATGCCCTGCGCGTCGCCGCAGAAGCGGTCGTTGAAGTGAAGCAGCGTGTACTGCGTCGGCTCCTCGCGCCGCAATGTCGAGGCCCACGCCGCCTGGAACAGTGCCGCCCCCAGCAGCAGCGGGGGCACCGGCGACGCGCCCGAACGGCCCATGGGGGCCATGGGTCCTTGCAACCAAGACCTCCAACGTCGGCGCATCGACAGCGGCAACGTGGCGGACGGCGACGACGACGACGACGACGGCGACGACGACGACGGCGACGACGATGACGACGACGACGACGATGACCACGACGACGACGACCACGACGACCACGGCGGTAACTGCGACGACGGCGATGACGGCGGCGACGGAGGCGGCGACTGCTGCCGCGGGGGCGACGGCTTCGTAAGTCGTTCCATATCCCTGGCGCGATCAAAATACGATCCAGGACGAACCAATAACCTTGGGGAAACGGTCGAGAGCTCTGAAGCCCGTATTGGAAATAAGACGTTTCCCCAAACAGTGTGCACTTAGGGACTCTTGCTTGACTGTCATAAGGAACAGGGTCTGCGTGGCAGCCTGGCGGTTTCGTGGTCGCCGTCGCCGCTCCGTCGCCACATCGTCGCCGGCCGTCGTCTGGGCCTGCGTGGCGGTCTGGCGGTTCCGTGATCGCCGTCGCCGCCCCGTCGCCGCCCCGTTGCCGCCGCGTCGCCGCCCGTCGTCTGGGCCTGCGTGGCGGTCTGGCGGCTCCGTGGTCGTCGTCGCCGCCTTGTCGCCGCCCCGTCGCAGCCCCGTTGCCGCCTAGGTTGCACAACATAAATTTCGCCACGCGTATCGCACAACATCATAGATTGTACCAAACAGATTGCTCCACGTCGATAGCCCCATATAGATTCACAACGCGGGTGGCACGACATCGGCTATTCTTTTTTACGGGATATACTCTAACCCCCCCCCCTCTGGAGATTATCACCCCCTCTTCGCATTGCAATTTGTATACGATTCTGCCCCATCGTCCATCCTAGATATGAACTCGCACAACTCCCAGGGGGCCGGTATCGGCCACCCCCGCCATCCTTTGCAAAATTTCGATGCGAGCGCACTCGCCCATCAAAAATCATATGGTTTCAAGAACCCCCTACAAAAAAATGAAACCGATGTGCACACGCGCGCGTTGTCGCGCACGCATGCCGGAATCCTTCAAAAACCATCGGTGCCGTAAGGATTTCAAACTCGAGTGTCCAAAAAACAGATAAGCAAACACTGAATTTCGCGACACTGATCTTCAAACCAAAAAAACAAAAACAAAAAATGCATGCTCTTGTGATGTTTTTGAAAACCACAAGTTCTCATCATTTTCATAAAAGAAATACCAACATAATTTCGCGCGCGCATGTCGAAATCGTTCGGACGCCCTTGCGTGCGTGCTGTCGCGAAACTCCTTTGCAACAGATCGGACGAGGTGCGCACGCGCGCGTCGTCGAACGCGCATGCCGATATCCGCCAAAAACTTGCGATCTCGTAGGGGTGTCAAAACCGACTGTCCAAAAACACATAAAAAACACAACATTTCACAACATCAGTGTTCAAAAAAAGCCTGCGTTCGCGCTTTGGCGACTTGTTAAGAAAGTCATCGGTGTTTCAACATGCTCATGGAATTCGCCAAACGGGCTTTGCTGGCCGCGCGCCGAAATCGTTCGCACGCCATTGCGCGCGTTCTGGGGGGGCACGATCCGTGTCAAGTAACACCATGCGGGCCACTCTCGCGCGTCGGCCGCGCACATGTCGAACTGCATCCAAAACCGTTATCACCGACGCGAAAACGCCGTCATCGTCGTCGGCGCGATCAACACAGGCACAGTCCCTGGCCGCGCCGTCGTCGTCAACATCGCCACCAGCATCGCGACGATCATCATCGTGTCGACCGTTGACGACGATACCGCGCCCGCACACGTCCCGACCAGCACTGAACGGCCCGCTAGGATGTGCCGAGCGATCAGCGCCACCGCGGCCGCCAAACTAGCTGGCCGCTGCGCGCGCGTGCGTGGGTTGGCGCGGCCGCAGAGATGCACTAGCCAACGCCAGGCACTCATCGCAATCGCCGCCGCATGGGCTTAGCAAAGCAAGTTGCGGACGGGCGGGGAGGATGTTTGCAAGAGCATGGAATGCGCCAACTCGTTTGTGAAATCACTTGCGCCACATAATTTGCACCATGTGTACATATTGTTCGACCCAAATTCTTTCTAACAAAGAAATCGGTTCTACCCCCCCGACTTATCGATACACAGAGAACCGATGCAAAACACATGTAATTTCTGGCCCAATGTCCATCCGCCCGGTGACTTCATAGTATCCCAGCCAGGCCGGCATCGGCCCCCCAGCGGTTCCCTTGCCGAAAAACTACGCGCGCACACTCGCTTTGCAAAAACCATAAGTTTTCAATAACCCCTCGGCAAAAATGCAACGAAGTGCACGCGCGCGCGTCGTCGCGAGCGCATGCCGAAATCCTTCAAAACCTTCGGCGTCGGAAGGCATTAAAAATCGAGTGCCCCCCCCCCCCCCAAAAAAAAAAAAAAAAAAAGTTTCGCAACGCGGACTTTCATGGAAAGCGCGCGCGCAGTTGCGAATTCTTAATAAAACTCTCAACGTTTACATAACGGGCTTCGCGCGCGCGTATGCCGAAATCGTTTGAACGCCCTTGCGCGCGTGCTGGAGTGGCACGATCCGCATCAAAAAATACCACGCGAGCCACTCTCGCGGGTCTGCCGCGCGCGCATTTCGAATCCCTACCAATCCCTACCAAAACCTGCATCATCGACGCGAAGACGCCGTCATCGTTGCCAGCGCGATCAGCATTGGCGCCGTCACTGGCTGCCCCGTCGTCGCTTGTCAGCATCGTCACCATCATCGCTACTATCATCATCGCGTCTACCGTTGACGACGTTGCCATGATACCGCGCCCGCCCAAGTCGCCGACTCGCACTGAAGTGCTCGCTGGGACGCGCCGAGCGGTCAGCGACACCGCGTTCGCATCGGTCGCGCCAAACTAGCTGGCCGCCGCGCGCGCGAGCATGCGCGGGCTGTCGCGGTCGCAAAGATGCACCAGCAAACACCCAACACTCATCACAATCGCTCCCGCATGGGTCTTGCAAACCATGTCGCGGGTGGGCGGGTCGGGCGATTGCGCGAGAAGGGGAGAGGACAAGTTCAAGTTCGGCAAGTGAATTCTCCTTTCTAAGAACAGAATATGATCTACCCCCCCCCGGCGTTATCGCTACCCCTTTTCGGGTATGTAAATCACATATGATTCTGACCACATGTCCATCCTAAATATGAAATCGCAACGTCCCAGGCCAACCGGTATCCCCACCCCCCTGAGGGTCGCTTTTATAATTATATATATAACGATGCGGTGATATTTATTGGTCTAACATGACACTTTTTTCACTTTTTTCCACCAATCCCTTGCAAAAAAACGAGACGAAGTGCGCACGCGCGCGCCGTCGCGCGCGCATGCCGAAATCATTCAAAAACCTTCGGTGCCGGAAAGATTGCGCAATCGAGTTTCCAAAAAACATACAAAACACACATGGTTTCGCAACACTGACTTGCAGAAAAAGCTTCCGCGCGAGCTCTTGCGAACTCGTAAGAAAACCGTAGGTTTTAAGATTTACACATAATGCTATTAAACGGGTTTCGCGCGCGCATGTCGAAATCTGTCGAACGCCCTTGCGCGTGTACCGTCGCGAGAACCCTCTGTAAAAAACGGGACGAAGTGCAGACGCGCGCGTCGTCGCGCGCGTACGCCGAAAATCTTCAAAACCCATCGGTTTCGGAAGGATTTTACAATCGTGTGCCCCAAAAAACCCTACAACAACACAAGGTTTCGCAACACGGATTTTCAACAAAAGCGTGCGCGCGCGCTCTTGCGTCGTCGTCGTCGTCCTCCCTCTTCCCTCGTCGTCGAAGTCGTCGTCGTCGCCGTCGTCGTCTTCTGTCTTTCCTCGTCGTCGTCGTCGTGGTCTTGGCGTCGTCGTCGCTTCCGTCGTCGTTGTCGCCGTGGTCGTCTGTCCTCCCTCGTCGTCTTCGTCGGCGTTTCGTCGTTGTCCCTCCTATTTCGTCGCCGTCGTCGTCGTCGTCGTCGTCGTCGTCGTCGTCTTCACTCCTCCCTCGTCGTTATCCTCCTCCCTCGTCGTCGTCGTCCGTCGTCGGCGTCTCGTCGTCGTTCCTCCTATTTCGTCGCCGTCGTCGTCGTCGTCGTCGTTGTCGTCGTCGTCTTCCCTCCTCCCTCGTCGTTGTCGTCGTCGGCGTCGCCGTCCTTCCTCCTTCTTCGTCGTTCGCGTCGTCGCCGTCTTCCCTCCTCCTTCGTCGTTGTCGTCGTTGTCGCCGTCGTCGTCCTCCCTCCTCCCTCGTCGTCGTCTTCGTTGGCGACGTCGTCGTCGTCTTCGTCGTCGTCGTCGGCGTCGGCGTCGTCGTCGTCTTCGTCGACGTCGACGTCGGCGGTGTCGTCGTAGTCGGTGTCGGCGGCGCCGTTGTCGTCGTTGTCGCTGTCGTCGTCGGCGTCGGTGTCGTGGCCAAGAGCCATGTGGTACCTACCGTCACGGTCTTGCCTTAAGAAGTCTTGCGACCAAGTTGCGGTTGGGTGGGAGGGATGTTTGCGCGAGCAGTGGAGGTGGTCAGGCGCGGTGCAGGGTAGTCAATTACACGCCATAGATTGCACCGCATGGAGCGCACCACGAAGACTGCACCGCAGAAGTTGCAACGCATAGATAACACAACCAAACTGCACCACACAAGCTGCACCGCGTCGGTTGCACCACATGGATCGCGCACCACTTAGACTGAAACACACGGATTGCGCCACACATGTTGCGCAACAAACGTTGCCCAACAGAGATTGCACCACATATTGCGCGACATAGGTTGCTCCACATAGAGTGCACAACATATCCTGAACAGCATAGATTACATGACGCAGGTTGGCACATAGGTCGCACCACGTAGATTCGACTACATACATTGCCCCACCAAGAGTGTACCACATTTAATGTTAGCGCACACGTCGCTTTGGTTGCATGCTGGCTAACTGGCATCAGCACGTTTGCCAGTGAGGACCCCAACCAGTGCTCCACCTATGCGAACAATCTAGGCAGCACAATCGACGTGGAGCAGTGGGCGCGGTGCAA